GATTTCTTCATGAACATTTACAATATAAACCCTCATTCAACTTCATATTGCCACAGCCCCGCATATGGCCCCCTTAACTGCCCCAAGGTGAATGCAGGTGCAGATGCCAGCAGGTCTGGTGACCCCAGCACAGGACTTCTATGTGAAATGCATTTTTATAGAAGAGTTACAGGAAGGAGAGATCTGAATTTCCTCTGGAATCAAACACACTGTTGGAGTCTCACAATCCAACCTCGTCACTTCTTATAGCTACTTGCCAACATCGAGCGACCACCAGTTAAAAAATGAGAGAAATGCTTTTGAGTGATCCCTGCTTTTGTAAACAGCCACATTTCTTCCATTTCTCTGTAGTTTCTTATTCTTCCTTGTTTTCATTTTATTTTGAGAGATGAAATACATTTATGTTCTGTCAAAGGAGGCCAAGAAATTTAGAAACGCTTTTCTGTGAAGGAGAAAGGCAAATATAAATAAATCAATAAATAAGACAAGGACTTGGAACATGTAAAAATTCCACTTTCACTGTGAGAGAACCTGAGAGCGGGATGACAGAATGTGACTCCTCCATTTATCACACTGCTGAAGTTTGTTTCCATATTCATGGTTCAACTGATCCAGCACCTTAAACTCTTGCAAGGAAGGAACGACCGGCCCCGCCCACTCCGGCGTCGGCTCCTCCCTCAGCACCTCCCCTCTGCGGGAGGCGGGACCCCGGATGTTTCCGTTGTCGGCCGTTGTCGGCCGTTGTCGGGGCGTTACCGGTTGTCGGGGCGTTACCGGTCGCTGCAGAAGCTCTTCAGGTCAACGGAGTGCGGAAGAGAGCGTGGAGCGGCGCAGCAGCGGCGGATTGAGGAGGATGCCCGGGCAGGAGCCGGGGCCGAGGTAGTTGTCAGAAAGTGTTGGCTAAGAGAGAAGATGGCGACGGGTCTGGAGCGGCCGTGACAGGAGACAGGGCGATCCTGTGAGCCGTGCGCTGTGATACATCTGTCCAAGTATACAAGAGTTTCTCTATGGTATACCCTTAGATATAGAAATGCTAGACAAGCAAATTTCAGTGTATGAAAGCTTCCCTTTTCCCCACATCCTCAACTGCACTTGGCATTGCTAAACTTCAGTGGTTGCCAGTATGATGGGTGTGAAATAATAATTCACTTTCTTTTAATTAACATAATACTAATAACAAGTGCAGATAAATAGCTTTATATACAGTTAATGAACACCTGAACTTTTTAATTGTTCAATTCCTTTGTCCATTTTCTCTAACGAATTGTTTTCTTCTTATTGATTCTTTAAAGTTTTAATTTATTCTGAGAATATATTTCTCCTATTATAAAAGTATATCCTGGAGAACTTTAAAAATCTATGACTGAAAGTAAAAAATAATTTTACATAATACATTATAATTCTATAATACACTTAATTTTTTAAAAACAAAACAAAAAATAACACTATGCCAGAAACTTCAAAAAGAACTAAAAGGTAAAGTAGAAAATAAAAGTCTCCCTGAGTCATGCCTCCACAGTTTCATTGTCCAATTGTCATGTCCAGAGATTACCACCCTTAACTCTGTTCAGTGTTCTCTCAGAAAATCTCTCTCTATATAAGCATATACACACACACATATTATATATTGATGTCATATATCCCACCTCCCCTATCTTTTTTCCTTTGCACAAATGAGATCATAATGCTCTGTAAGTGGCTTTTTTCAAGTAACAATATATTTGAACATCTTTCCGTATCAGTACATAGAAACCTAACTAATTTTTCTTAATGATTACACCTTATTCCATACACACTGAAAATATCATCACACAGGATTCTATATATAGTAGGTGCATAATTATTACTTCTCACAAGGTAAATTCAATAGCCTGGATACACAAAACAGTTAACATTGTTATACAATTAGCCCTAACATTTTCCATGCATATCCATAAAATCTTATTTGACCAAACAGAATTTCCAAAGCTGTGCATTCAATAGCAACCCCAGAGAAAACATTAAAACAAATAAAGGTTAAACCAAATGAATGGGCAGTTTTTGGGGGGGTTTTTGTTTGTTTGTTTGTTTGTTTGTCCTTTTTGAGACCGGCCGCACAGCGCTCAGCCACGCACTCAGCCAGTGAGCGCTGTGAGCGCACCGGCCATCCCTATATAGGATCCGAACCCGCCACGGCGCCGCACTCTCCCGAGTGCGCCACGGGCTCGGCCCCTAGAGTCACTTTTAAATGAGTAGCAGCCTATGAGCAAATCCAAAGCCAAAATTTCAGGTAAGTTGACTCAGTTCCCAATATTTATAAGTGGTTACTTAGGACAGTGCCTGGTATGTAATGAGTGCGGTGTAAGACAGAGCTGTTATTAGTAGTAATAGTTAAGTAATAATTTCGTGTTTATCCTAAACGGATCGAAGCTGAATCCTTCTCAATCTTGATGTGTTTATACTAGTGATCATTACTCAGAGAAACTGATCATTTCCTTTGAGGAAAACAGCCTTGCTTCTCATGTTCATCTTGGTTTAGTTCAGTAGGTGTCTTTTTTAAGACAAAGAAAAAGATCAGTTGAGTGTCTTTTCACTTTGAAATATTTATTTGCTAGTTGATAACTTACTTTAAAAACTGTGTTTAGTTTCTGAAGGAAAATATTTCTGTTTCCGGAAAGTCTTTCAGTTGTTTGTACAACTTTCTGTCCTGCTCAGTATACCGTGTATGAGCCAGTGATTCGACTTAAAAGTCAGATGAAAACTCAGCTCTCAAAGACCCTTCAGCTCAAAAGAAGTTCAGAGCATCTTATTAGAACCTCATCATCTAAAGAATCTCCAGCCTACCGAATGTAAAACTATTCAAGGCATTCTGCATGAGATTGGTGGAACTGGTGTGTTTGTTTTTCTCTTTGCTAGGGTAGGAATCACTGATTATAGTTTTGTCTAAGGAGAACCTACTTCTTTATTATTGATAAAGAGGTTTTTTTTGGACTACCAAAAAAAAAAAAAAAAGCTGCAGTCAAGTATATTAAATTTTTAGCATTAAAAAAAGCATATTAAAGATGTCATCAAGCTTTCTGCTACAGATGATTATGATTTCTTCTAATTTATGCAGATTTCTAGAAGTTTTCTATTATCCAGAAATGTTATTAGAACAATTAAAATGTTAAATGTATGAAATTTTAAATTGCCTTTGGAAAGAAAAATGTATGCTGTAGTAATGAGATGAAAGAAATGTATTTTTAAAAATAAAATATATATGAAAAAGAAACATTTATCTCTTAAAGCTTTCTAATGCAGGGGGAAAAAACTGAAGGTAAAAAAATTTTCTTAAAGCTTTCTAATGCAGGGGGAAAATACTGAAGGTAAAAAAATTTTTTTTAAGAAATTTTTATTTATTTGGGTCTGTAGTTTGTTTAAATAGGAGAAATATAAAAAGTTTGACTCAGGCCATAAGTACCGTTTTAGAGTAAATCATTTAATATCTGTTCTATTTAGTTATTGGAGGGCAAGGACAATGACTTACCTGATGCAGAGTAGGCAGTCAATAATTATATATTGACTTTTTCAGAGATTTTTAAAATCCAAAAGAGGGGGCACAAATGGTTTCACTTTGTCACAAATCATTTCTCCTTCCTTGGGGTCCGTATCCCTGTTTAATTAAAGCAGCCTCGATCTTCCTTTATCCTTGAACGTCATCTTCTTTTTACCACTAAGTATAGCTTCTGCAACCTTATCAAATTTTCACACTGTTTTCCTAACTGGCTTTCTTTCTTTAACAGGTCCACCTTGATTAATTTTGCAATAAGGGGCATATCAATGTTTGTTGTTAGTGTTCTTATAAATATCTTGTTAGCACTTGACCTACCATACTCTGTAAGCTGTCATCTTTTCCTCCTCTTCCTTTTGTATACTTTCTTTGCATGTATTATTTAGAAGAATAGATTTTCCCCTCTTGTTTTAAAATTTAAAGCTCTTTAACTCCTCATTAACATTTTGTAATCTCATTTTATATCATTGTACAATTTCAAAATGTATATCTTTGGTTTTTCTTCTTTCATCAAGATTTTTGATATGATTTTGTTATGATTACTGATACAGTGATTGGATCCTAAGAAAATGGTTAAATTTTATCTTATGTATATTAGGATCTTGCCAATACTTAAAGTATGTTTTCACATTTAAAACTTAGAAACGTTGTATCTTTCCCTCTCCTACAAAAATAAACTTCAGTCTCCTTGAAATCCTTACATGTATAGCCTGCCATTTGAACCTGATGTCCATCATCCAGCCAAACAGGCAGTCTGCAGCCTCCTAGGTGTCCCATGGACTTCCAGTGCAGGCCTTTATCCCTTTCCAGGCTGCATCCCAGCCACCTCTTTATCTCTGCTTTTCCAGGAATGGGCTCTCCTTCCAGACCATCTCCTCTCCTCATAGCCTTTCTAAACCAAGCAGGTAGGGGTCAGAAGTGATTTCTGTGCTCTCATGGCATTTCTTTTGTCTCATTCTTCTTTGCCTTTTGTCGTGATAAAGGGTGTATGTTTCTTATGTACAGTAGTTGTCAGAAAGTGTTGGCTGCATTGAAGTATGAGGCACAATACATGGTTTTTACATGTAGGTCTTATCTCTGATTAGACAGTAGGCCCCACGGGGGGCAAGCATCATGTCTTTTCACGTAGAGTCTATTTGTTGATTGACTATTCTACTGAAAACTTGAAACATTTTACTGACAATTCAGATCACTAATTATAAAATGCTACTGACCTCTAAGGTTGTTAATGTTTAGTCCCTTTATAATGTACTAAAGAGATTAAAGAGAATGGGATTATGCCTCAGTTTTGTTTATGCCTGTTGCTCAGTTTTGTTTATCCACAATTCTTAAATTATTACCATGTGACTATTAAAAAATAAGGTTTCATAGAAACTGTTAGATTGATATTACATAAAGGTTATAATCGCACATGTTAAATTTTTACTCTCAACAAATCAGGAGAAAAATATATCTGCTTTTTTTAGGTTTTGAACTCAATAGCTGTGAAGAAACTCAAGCATTAGTGCTGCAAGTTATACTCTCACTAATTCAGTACAACCAATAGTACAGGAGTTAGAAAACTTTCCTGGACTTTGCATGATTCATCAGGTGTTGATCAAATGAAAATGCATCGTTGGCTATCACATTTTGAAGGTATGACCTCACAAAATTTATTCTCACAGTTTCATATGCAGTGACACTCATCTCTTCATCAAAGTCTTTCAGTGATAGTTTTGTGTTTCAGTTATTCCTGAAGTAAATGAAGGAAACTCATTAGGGTATATTTACTCAAACTAAGGTACCCTTCCAGTTCTTTTTATCTTTAAGTGATTACATTTTTCTTTTCTTTAAAGCGTTTTAGGAAAGTAAGAAAAAAAAATAAACTCATAGAATTTTAGATCTAGATGAACCACAGATGCCTGCCACGCTGGCCCCTCATTCTGTAGATGGATGAAATTGTTTGCTTCAGCTCCCACAGTGATGGGAGAGAACCCAGTTCTCCAGATACCTAGAGAAACACCATTTCATTAGGCAATGCTGCTACAGAGTTAGTTTTTTTTTTCCTTTTTGTCTTTTTTTGTGACCGGTAATGGGGTCGCAACTCTCGGTGTCGCACCCGTACCGCGACCGGCAACAGGATCGCAACCCTCGGTGTCGTGCCCGGACCACGCTCAACCAGTGAGCGGACCAGTCTCTATATGGGATCCAAACCCTCGGCAGGAGCGCCACCGTGCTCCTAAGCGCCACACTCTACCAAGTGCGCCACCAGACCGGCCCCAGAGTTAGTTTTAAAGTCACAGATGTCCGTGTTAGTTTTTATATGATCCTACTGTCATCATATATTTAAACTTTTTTCTGGCCGTCAGCATTTGGTAACATTGTGAAAGTATTTGTCTCTGAGGATAGGGATACTAAGGCAAAAGATGGTTCCTCTACCCCTGCACCCCACACCTACCTCTTCAAACTATCAAGATCCACACATGTGTGGCATGAATCCTTACTACTTTTCTGAAAAGGTTTTAAAGGCTAACAGCAATTTAATTCATTTGAAAAAATAAAAATAGAATGTAGTTTGTTTTACTCCATGTTTGAAACTGAGTATTCACAAATATTTGAAAGGTTGGGGTTTTCTATTTATTTAAGTTGTTTTACAAAAACAAATTAAAGATACTTTGTGAAATGTTGAATTATTTACCTGTTTTCCTAAAACAAATTAAAGATATTTTACAAAAACAAATTAAAGATACTTTGTGAAATGTTGAATTATTTACCTGTTTTCCTTTGAATTTAATGTTATGACTGCTAAGATTCAAAGCTTAATGTTTCTGTTAAACTTTTTGATTAATCATTGTTAATGCATGGTATATTAATGCTGATTTTCCATAGACCCTTGAAGTTTGCTGCAGTGAAGATATTATTCATATCGGTGAGAATGGAGAGTTTAAGTTGGATATAGAGTCCGATGCTATAATCCAAAATGTGAAACTGTTAGAGGAGCTGTTGCTTGTCTGGAAGATATGGAATAAAGCAGAGGCATGTAATGTGTACTTTTCCCTCTTTTTCTTATTGTGGTAAAGTACACATAAGATAAAATTTACTATCATAACCATTTTTTTTTTTTGTCTTTTTTGTCTTTTTCCGTGTCCGGCAACGGATCGCAACCCTCAGTGTTGCCCCCGTACCGGACCGGGGACCGGCAACGGGACTGCAACCCTCAGTGTTGCTCCCGCGCCGCGCTCAGCCAGTGAGCGGGAATTGGTCTGTATGTGGGATCCGAACCCTCGGGCGGGAGCGCCGCCACGCTTCCCAAGCGGTGCACTATCCAGTGCGCCACTGGGCCGGCCCTATCATAACCATTTTTAAGTGGCATCAAGTACATTCACAATATTGTGCAACCATCACCACCATCCATCGCCATAACAATTTTCATCTTTTAAAACCAAACCTCTGTACTCATTAAACAATAACTCCCCATTCCTCCCTTTCCACAGACGTTGGCAACCACCATTCTCTCTCTGACTGTATGATTTTGACTCGTATAGGTGGAATCATATAGGATTTGTCTTCTTGTGATTAGCATTTTTCCCTTAGCATAATGTCCTCTAGGTTCATCCCTGTTGTAGCATATGTCAGAATTTTCTTCCTTCTTGAAGCTGAGTAATATTCTGTTGTATGGATACACTGCATTTTGCTTAGCCATTCATCCATCAAGGGACACTTAGATAGCTTCCACATTTTAGCTGCTGTAAATAGAAACATGTACTTTTAAATATTCATCTAATTCTTCTGAAGAAGCAAATTAATTTACTACTTCCATGTTATGTTAATTATAAATGGAAATCTGTAGATATTTCCAATTCAAAGTTTTGAACAGCCATGAGTACTGCTGAGCTGGAAGGTCAAGATCAGAACTTGGGCTGGCTGAGAGCACTGTACTCAGGCAAGAGCATATGGGCTCATTTGGATCAGTTGGGAGCTTCTATTTCCTATAAACTCTGAAAGGGGAGCCTGTTAAGAGTCTGGGGAGTCAGGTCCAGGAGAGGGAAATGGACATACTTCTGAATGGGGGACCATGCTGGCCAGGAGGCAGAGCTGGGATTGTTGTGTGTAGGGCAAGGCCTTATCATAAGCACGGAGTAAGCAACATAGATAGATGTTAGGTCTGGGCACTGAATCTCAACACCTAGAATGGAGAAACTGGTCTTCAGAAGGACCCAACCAGGAAATAAGTGCAGGGTTGTTTCCTTTCTGCCCTATTTGTAAACATTCTTAATTGAATAGGCTCACACAGTCGTCTTAGTTATAGTGTAGACTGTCCCCCTCCCGACCTCCCGAGTGTGGCAGGGTTCTAACTGTCCCCCTCCCGAGTGTGGCAGGGTTCTAGTAGGTATTGGTGATTTTTGAAAAAACTAGATTGTCTAGAAGTAGAATATAACAACATTATCATCAAACATAATTATTTAACATGCAATTCAGAATATATATCTTTAGAGTTTTTAAAAAATGTATTATTTGCAAGTTTGGCAATAGTCTCCAAAAATTTAACATCCTCAATAACAAGTTGTGAAGCTAAAAAAAGTTTTCTTATCTGTAATTATAAAATAAATTTAGCTCAAACTTACTAGAGGAAAGAAAATTATTTTTCTATTCCTATAGAAAATTATATTACAAAATTATTGTTATATGAAGAGGCAGTCAAAAAGTGTGAAAAAGGTATTAAAAAGCAGCTTAAAAACTATTGCTATTTTTCTGTATTTTGTGGTATTTATGGTATTTGTCAATTTTTTAAACTTTGTAATTTGTTGTGATTCCTATTCTCATTTTCAATATTCACTTTTAAACCTAAAATAACCATAGAGATAGATGAGTAGATAGATAAAAATATGTGTAATATTGCAGGAAGAGAAAGCAAATCAATTCAGGGATAGCATATGTAAACAAATTAGATCAAAGGCAGTAAAATTATATAATACAGAATATGCTCAGTTACAGATTGGAAAATTAAACCTAATTAAATGAGGGACAGTTAGCTTATTTAGCAAATTTGGGGTTGTCTGATAAAAAAACATTTTTTTTTGAATTCAGAATTAATAAGACACTTTTGGATTTGAAATATTTTCTTATCTAATTAATTGTTTTTGAACCAAGTTTGATTTTTGTTGTTTTGTTGTTGGTGGTGGTGATTTGTTTACATTGGCACTATTTTTCAAACCTGTTTGAATCAAGTTTTCCTACTTAGGCTGCCTTGTCTCCCAGTTTTCATATGGCTTTTTCTTTTAGGGCATCTTAGCTCCATCTATGAAGAGAGAGGCCTTGGTGAGAATAGTATGATTAATTCCATCAAGTCCTTGGCCTTTTCATTGTTTATTACTGTCCGATAATGGCAGGAGAAATACTAAGACCTGCAACCCAACCTTCTTGTTAACTGCTTCGTTGAAAGGTCAATTAGAGTAATAAGGTGAGGTGGAGATTATCTCTCAATATTAGTTATCTACGTAAGTTCTTTTTCTGTAGTATTGTGGATGATTTAAGGTTGACTCAATATGGGAGAGCATTTTAAAGCACCTTTAAAGGATGCTAACTACTCTTTGAAGATGCAGTTTGTAATCGTGCAGAGAATTTTTTCATTTGGACTAAAAAGTAAATTAATCCAAAAGCAGGGTTTTCACATTGTTTGTGACTTTTCAATTTAGTACTGTTTGTTCTAAAATTATTTCATTAAATGCTGCATATGCCAATTAGCATTGAAATTTATACAGTTTTCATAACACTCTTTGAACATAAATTATTTGAAAATAATTATATTGGTCATATGTAGTCTTCTCTAATTTGAATAATTCTCTCAAGGTCATTCATCTTTTGAAAATACTTATATATCATTTAACATCAAAGAAAGGGTAATATACTAAAGCAGTGAATACCATATTGCATTCAATATAGGTATATAGAAATGACCTGTTGACAACAGAAAATAATAGAGGATAAATCTTATGATTTGTTTTTTTCAGACAAATTTAATCATTGACGTTAAATATATACACAGTGTTAAACTGTTATATTGTGTGTGTTCTAAAAAGCATGCAGCATGGTTTTCAGTAACTGTGTGCTAATTGGAGTGTGTTTATTTTCTCAGCAAGGTGTTTGGGAAACCCTGCTAGCGGCTTTGGAAGTCCTCATCCAAGCAGATCACCACCAGCAGGTGTTTAACATTAAGCCGTTATTGAAAGCTCAAGTGGTTCATCACTTTCTACTGACCTGTCAGGTTTTGCAGGTACTTTTCATGTTACTTTACTTCTGGATATGTTTTTTGTAGTTGTTTCTGATTAATAACTCTGTGCTATGGATATCAGATTTTCGTGGGATCTTCAATAGGATTTTTTTCCTCCTTTTCATCCTCTCTGTTCTCCTGGTTGTCTTCTTTCAAGAAATAGTTTTTCAACTCCTGCCTCTTACACCTTAATCTTTACACTGTCATCGTTCCTAACTCAGTTACAAAAGAACAACTACTACTAAATTTTTGATATGTTTATGTTGGGATATAATAATAATTTTGTGGTCTCTTGAACATCAACAATAGATGATGAATTTTAACTTGTTCCATATCCCTTAAATAACACCTTACAAATATGTATTATTTTAATAAATATGAATTTGCTGAAGGTTTATTTTATATGCTAGAATTAGCATCTTGAAAATATATCCAAAGTATTATGTTAAAAAATGGCATTAAATTTACCAGTTATATTGTGTTGTCTGTGCTGTGGCCTGGCTTCTAGTTAAATTTTTTT